TTGGCAATAGTACTCAATGGGAAAAGAGGCTAATTACTTAGCAAAAAACTGGTGATACACTGCAATTAAAAGAATAAACACCTGGGTACACTGAAAGAGGGGACTATTCATTCTTTCAAATAGCCATTAGCTAGAGGGATTTGATGATAGCCATCCTAATTGCCACAAGGTGGTGCAACCAATTTATTATACTATACATCTACTTATTTTTCCAAAAACACTTGGAGGTCACATTCAATATTTAACCCTTTTGGAAATAGAGTATCAAGTTTATATATTTAGTGTTTTTCACGTTTTAGGAGTTCTCTATCAAAGTCACCTCTCCTCTCTTTGAAATTGAGTGCATAAATTCCTCTAACTTTGGTGCCCTCTAATCTGCCTCCATGGTACTTGGCATAATGTTGAGCTAAATTGCTTTCAGGGTCATTATACTTAATATCCCTAAAGTGTTCACCTATTCACACTTTAAGCTGCCTTTTAGTTTTTACCAATATACATTTTTTTACATGGACAGGTCAACATGTGAGTACTCTAGCTGTAGAGCAGTTTATATGGCTTTGAATTTTAAAGTGAGCTTTGTTATTTGAATCTGAAAATATATCTGTACGATCTACAAACTTACAAATTTGACATTTTCCACATCTATACATCCCTTTAGTACGTGACTTCAACCATGTTGATTGTTTTAATGGTTGATAGTCAGAGTAAATAAGCAAATCACCAAGATTTGGTGCTCTTCTTGCTACCATTAGTGGACGTTCACCTACAATTTTACCAAGCTTAGGGCACTGTGTAAGAATCTTCCAATGTTTTTCCAGTATATGTTTTACTTCCCTCCCATTGTGCTCCAAACTGGGTTATCATCCTGACCGGTTGTACAGCCTGTTTCCCTTTCTCTTCCTTTTTTGGAGACAGTAACATTTTTCGATCAGTTTGATATGCCCGTTTTCTAGCCCTTCTGATTTGGGAGTGGGAATATCCTTGTTCCCTAAATCATTTATAGAGGTCTTGTGCCTCTAATCTAAAGTCATTAATGTTGGAACAGTTTCTTCGATACTTTAGAAACTGTCCAACTGGAATCCCAGTAATTAATGAATGTGGGTGATAACTTCTGGCCTCAAGTAATGTATTAGCCGCAGTTGGTTTTCTGAATGTTTTGGTGAGCAGCCTGTCACCCTCAAGTCTAAGGTCGAGGTTAAGGAAGGAAATACGCCATTTGTCAAAGATATATGTAAGTCTGATATTCAAGGAGTTATGATTCAACTCCTCCAAGAAAAGTTTTAGTTCCTCCAATGACCCCCTCCAGATGAGGAACACATCATCAATGTATCTCAACTAGATCTGGACATGTGTGAGAAACATTGGTGACCTGTAGACAAACTGCTCCTCCCAAAAACCCAAGTGCAAACAGGCATAAGCTGGGGTCCATGGTGCTCCCAAACTAGTGCCCCTAATCTGTTGGTAAAATGTATTGTTAAATTGAAACAAATTGTGTTGCAAAGCAAAGTCTAGTAGCTCACTTATAAACTCATTTTGCCCTCCCATTTTGGGATATGATTTGTCAAGGAAATATGAAGCCGATCTTAGTCCACATTCATGTGGAATAGATGTGTATAGTGATTCAACATCCACTCCAACCAAAATGGAATTTTTCTCTATTTTCAAATTCTCAATTTTTGCTAATACATCTTTGGTATCTCTTACATAGGAAGATAAATTTGAAACCATATCCTTGAGAAACAGGTCAATATACTTTCCCGTTTTCTCAAGGGGACCCTGTATTGGGGAAACTATAGGTCTTCCTGGAGGGTTTAACAAATCCTTATGTATTTTTGGGATGATATAAAAGGTAGGATAATTAAACTCCTCAATCCTGAGATACTCAAATGCCCTTTTAGTAAGAAGGCCAGCCTCTTTTCTCAATACCAAAATAGAGTTTAGCTTTTTGACCAAGATGGGAAAGGGGTTAACAGTTAATTTATGGTATGTAGTTAAGTCGCCTAATTGGCGTTTCACTTCTTTTACATAGTTCTGTTCATTTAAAATTACTACATTACCACCCTTATCACTTCTTTTATTTATAATATTTTTAGCCTCTTTTAATTCTCTAAGTGCTCTTCTCTCTTTTTTAGTGAGGTTGTCACTTATTGGCATTTTCCATTCAAGATTTTTAAGGTCGGTTGCTACCAAATCCAGAAATGCTGCTATCCTCATATTAGAGCGTATTTTGGGCATTTTTGTTGATCTAATATTTAAATCAACTCTTCTAACCATATCATGGTGGCCATCTTCTTCTGGACCATCATCATTATATTCATCGCCTTCTTCCATGAGAGATATCAGCATTTCCAGTACTTTATTGTCTTCCATGGATGTACCTGAGTTCAAATTTTAATGTTTGAGAGTTATTATGTACTAATCTCAAAAATACCTTTCTCAAGAACAAATTGATATCCTTAAATACCTCAAATTCATCCATGTGGGTACGCAGGGAAACGCAGACCTCAGATATGTTATAAACAATATAATTTATTAACACTAACAATACAAACATAAACGCAGTGCAATATTAAAACATAATACAGTGCAACCAAACCAAACCAAACCAACCACCCACAGATAACAGTACATACAAGCAAGCGTCGTCAGGCAGGCCGGGTCAATATCAATAGGGCAGGTAGGTACAGGGGGAGCAAGCGGAGATTGGTCGGGGTCACAGCAGGTTCAGCAGGTAGCAAGCAGCGTAGTACAGAGGGTCAGGCAGAGGGATGGTCAGGGTCACAAGCCAGGGATCAGAACAGGTAGCAAGCAGCGTGGTACAGAGGGTCAGGCAGAGGGATGGTCAGGAGCGAGCCGGGATCAGAGCAGGAGAAGTCAGCAGCGGTTCAGAAACAGGATGCAGGACAGAACAGGATACAGGGCCCAGGACAAACACAACACCAAGGCAGAGTCTGTGGGTCTGGCCATCCCTTAAATACCCCAGCATAATCAGTTCCAGGTGTTAGCTGGCTGCAAAGTTGAGTCTCTGATTGCTGGGAGCATCCGCTGGCCAGCCCTGGTACTGCAGATCAAAAGGCAGGTGAGTCCCACCATTGCTGGCCAGTCCATTCCTGACAGTACCCCCCCCCCTCAAGGAGCGGCCTCAGGACGCTCCAAACAGTCCTAGCTGGGAAAAATGTTCCACCGCCCGGGTCTGGTAACTGGCGGGATATCAAAGACTGGCACACCGGGCAGGACTCCGGGCAGCGGTACACCGGGCAGAGGCACATCGGGCTGGACTCCGGGCAGAGGCACACCGGGCAGAGGCACACCGGGCAGAGGCACACCGGGCTGGACTCCGGGCAGAGGCACACCGGGCTGGACTCCGGGCAGAGGCACACCGGGCTGGACTCCGGGCAGAGGCACACCGGGCTGGACTCCGGGCAGAGGCACACCGGGGACTCCGGGCAGAGGCACACCGGGCTGGACTCCGGGCAGAGGCACATCGGGCTGGACTCCGGGCAGAGGCACATCGGGCTGGACTCCGGGCAGAGGCACATCGGGCTGGACTCCGGGCAGAGGCACATCGGGCTGGACTCCGGGCAGAGGCACATCGGGCAGGGACTCCGGGCAGAGGCACATCGGGCTGGACTCCGGGCAGAGGCACACCGGGCAGAGGCACATCGGGCTGGACTCCGGGCAGAGGCACATCGGGCTGGACTCCGGGGGCAGAGCAGGCAGGGCGGGCCCCCAGGCGGGCGGCAGGCACCGGCCCCCGGGCAGGGGGGCGGGCACCGGGCCCCCGGGGGCGGGGCGGCAGGCACCGGGCCCCCGGGCGGGCACCGGGCGGCAGGCACCGGGCCCCCGGGCGGGCGGCAGGCACCGGGCCCCCGGGCGGGGGCGCGACAGGCACCGGGCCCCCGGGCGGGGCGACAGGCACCGGGCCCCCCGGGCGGGGGGCGGGGCGACAGGCACCGGGCCCCCGGGCGGGGCGACAGGCTCGGGCCCCCCGGAGCGGGGCCCCCAGGAGCGACAGGCCTCGGGCCCCAGGCGGGGCGGCGGGCGCCGGACCCCCAGGCGGGAGCGACAGGTCTCGGGCCCTCAGGCGGAGCGGCGGGCGCCGGACCCCCAGATGGAGCGACAGGTCTCGGGCCCTCAGGCGGAGCGGCGGGCGCCGGACCCCCAGATGGAGCGACAGGTCTCGGGCCCTCAGGCGGAGCGGCGGGCGCCGGACCCCCAGATGGAGCGACAGGTCTCGGGCCCTCAGGCGGAGCGGCGGGCGCCGGACCCCCAGATGGAGCGACAGGTCTCGGGCCCTCAGGCGGAGCGGCGGGCGCCGGACCCCCAGATGGAGCGACAGGTCTCGGGCCCCCAGGCGGGGCGACAGGCATCGGGCCCCAGGCGGGGCGACAGGCATCGGGCCCCCAGGCGGGGCGACAGGCATCGGGCCCCCAGGCGGGGCGGCAGGGTCGGGGCGACAGGCTCGGGCCCCCAGGCGGGCGGCGGGCGCCGGACCCCCAGGCGGAGCTACAGGTCTCGGGCCCTCAGGCGGAGCAACAGGTCTCGGGCCCCCAGACGAAGCGGCGGGCACCGAGTCACCAGGCACGACAGTGGGCACCGAGTCGTCGTCTGGCAAGACTGCGGGCACCGAGTCAACTGGCGGAACAGCGGGCACCGAGTCAACTGGCGGAACTGCGGGCACCGAGTCGTCTGCGGGCAAGACTGCGGGCACCGAGTCGTCTGGCAAGACTGCGGGCACCGAGTCAACTGGCGGACAGCGGGCACCGAGTCGTCTGGCAAGACTGCGGGCATCGAGAGTCAACTGGCGGAACAGCGGGGCGAGTCAACTGGCTGGCGGGACTGCAGGCACCGAGTCGTCTGGCAAGACTGCGGGCACCGAGTCAACTGGCGGAACAGCGGGCACCGAGTCGTCTGGCGGACTGCGGGCACCGAGTCGTCTGGCAAGACTGCGGGCACCGAGTCGTCTGGCAAGACTGCGGGCACCGAGTCGTCTGGCAAGACTGCGGGCACCGAGTCGTCTGGCAACTGCGGGCACCGAGTCGTCTGGCAAGACTGCGGGCACCGAGTCAACTGGCACGACAGTGGGCACCGAGTCAACTGGCAGGAACAGCGGGCATCGAGTCAACTGGCGGACAGCGGGCATCGGGTCACCAGGTATGACAGCGGGCACTGGGTCACCAGGCATCAGGTCATTTGGCTTGCCAGCGGGCACCGCGTCATCTGGCAAGGCAGTGGGCACCGGGTCACCAGGTATGACAGCGGGCTCTGAGTCAATTGGCACGACAGCGGGCACTGGATCAGGTACCGGATCATCTGGATCAACACAGCGGGCATCGAGTCAACTGGCCTAATAGGATCGTCGGGCTGGATCAGTTCATCATGCTGAGTAGCGGCATCAGGCTGGATCAGGGAGTTCAGGCTGAGTAGAGGCTTCAGGCTGAGTAGAGGCATCAGGCTGAGTAGAGGCATCAGGCTGAAGAGAGGCATCAGGCTGAAGAGAGGCATCAGGCTGAAGAGAGGCATCAGGCTGAGAGAGGCATCAGGCTGAAGAGAGGCATCAGGCTGAAGAGAGGCATCGGCTGAAGAGAGGCATCCGGCTGAAGAGAGGCATCCGGCTGAAGAGAGGCATCAGGCTGAGAGAGGCATCAGGCTGAGTAGAGGCTTCAGGCTGAGTAGAGGCTTCAGGCTGAGTAGAGGCTTCAGGCTGAGTCACGGAAGGCAGGTTCACCGGTTTGGATACTGGCAGGATGGTATTGGTTGGAAAGAATTTTCGCTTTTTTCTGGTTTTAACTACTGGAGCACTGCAAGTAAACGCAGGTCTGCAAACGAATGGAGCAGCTGGAGACAGAGAAAAACTGGAGGATGGAACAGGAGAGGGAGCAGTTGCTACAGAGGGCTTTTTTACAGGGTTAAAGGCAGGATAGGTGCAGCGAGTGGGAACAGGGTACTGACATGCGGTAGATAGCCAAGTATACTGGGCTGTAACTGGAGGAGCTGGTGGGAATACAGGAGTAGAGTTAGAAGCAGGACTGGGTTTTTGTAAGCTGACTGAGGCTGGGTGCAACAAGTCTGTCCATGTCTGCAGTAGGGGTTGAACAAAGCTGAGCTTACACAAAGCCTGTCTGGTCAATGACTGCACTGCGTTTATACAATCTCTTAGTGTCTGTGGTGAACATGTGGAATAACGCTCCAGAAAGTAACCCACATCATCCTCTAATAACCACACCAGGGACTCTACCTGGTCTGCACTAAATGGTGGCAAAAATTCATCCCTGCATTCGGGGGAACCAGATGAAACCAACTCAGCACAAACCTCAATCAAAGGCTGCACCTCAGAGAACTCTGTGCCCTGATCTACTAGAACATGAGCGAGCCGTATACATTCTAGTAGTTGATCCCTGGGATACTCCTTCAGAGTTTGATAAGCATACTCCCTGTCATCAAACACTAGCAGATATAAATACACAACCTCATCCAGATCCATCCTTCCCAGCAACAAGCCAAGATGGCTTCCCTGTGCAGCCACTTCTGGTCAGGATTGGCCTTGGTGTAATGTCAGGGCTCCCAGGTGTGACCAGAGGTGTGTGGCTGACGCAGGGAAACGCAGACCTCAGATATGTTATAAACAATATAATTTATTAACACTAACAATACAAACATAAACGCAGTGCAATACTAAAACATAATACAGTGCAACCAAACCAAACCAAACCAACCACCCACAGATAACAGTACATACAAGCAAGCGTCGTCAGGCAGGCCGGGTCAATATCAATAGGGCAGGTAGGTACAGGGGGAGCAAGCGGAGATTGGTCGTCGGGGTCACAGGCCAGGTTCAGCAGGTAGCAAGCAGCGTAGTACAGAGGGTCAGGCAGAGGGATGGTCAGGGTCACAAGCCAGGGATCAGAACAGGTAGCAAGCAGCGTGGTACAGAGGGTCAGGCAGAGGGATGGTCAGGAGCGAGCCGGGATCAGAGCAGGTCAGAGCGGTTCAGAAACAGGATGCAGGACAACAGGATACAGGCCCAGACAAACACAACACCAAGGCAGAGTCTGTGGGTCTGGCCATCCCTTAAATACCCCAGCATAATCAGTTCCAGGTGTTAGCTGGCTGCAAAGTTGAGTCTCTGATTGCTGGGAGCATCCGCTGGCCAGCCCTGGTACTAGAGTGTGAAAGGTGAATCTGGCAACACAAGCAGCTTTATGAGATATAGATACCCCATAGCTTGCTTAGGGTGAAAAAAAAGAGTGTCCTTCCCTCATCTAGAATGCATAGTTATGTTTCTGCTGAAAAAGTCATGGAATACATCACTTGAAACTTCAGGAAAGACAGGCACAGTCACAATGTAATTTGGATGCAAATTTCCCCAGATTTGTCACCTGCAACTCTGGACAGGCGTTGTCAATTTCATGAGATCACTTCTGTATTAGCTATGGCATGGATTCATTACCGTTGGGGATTCCCCTTCAAGCTTACAATACCTCATAATGGCAGCACATATACCATCACCACCCTGGCTGAAGGTCAAGAGCCTTTACTTAAAGTGAGCCTATTTGAAACAGCAGCCCCGTCTCATCCTCCTTTCACCCCCCAGTCTACAACGATCTAGCATACATACATCTCCTCGAAGGGACAGACGCAGAATACACTATGTAGCAGCCTGAATTCTAGTTGTAATTCCTCAAGTGACAGTTTTCCTGCTAACAAGTTTTTCACTAGAAAACACCACCTGGCCTATACCTACACTGTGTACCTCTTTCATACCCTGACCAGGACATGGTGAACCATTTAATGTCTTTAAATGTTTAATTTTCATATGTATGATTAATTTGTTTCTCTTAGGCGGCACTTCAGAACAGCACACCACAGATATTTGCACTCCTGGACCTCAACCCTTTTGGGACTTAGGCTGTGCATGTTCTGTTGAGAACAAAAGGTAACCCATCTGATATCCTTAAGACTCAGGCTATGTCCCACCATGCCCTGACAATGGGATTGGTAATCCTTTTGGCTCTACGCCCATGCCTCTAGATACTGGGCTGAACATCTCTGCCATTCCTTCGCAGGATGGATGTCTTCCCACGGGTTTTGGAACTTTTTAGTCCCCTGATGTTTATATTTTTGTCAGGTTTTTTTTTATTTTTCCCGACCCTTGTGCTGGGTCTTTTAGATACCCAGATCTGCTTTTTAGTTATCACTCTAGTGTGATTCTGCTTACACCGACCCTAGTTGGTTTTATTTTCTTACCACTTGCACCATGTTTTGCATGTATTGACTGTACATTTACATTTTGTTTTGAAGATTGGAACGGAACTGTGGCCTTGTGCCCCCCCCTTCCTTTTTTAGTTTATTTATCACCACCCAGATGGATTCCATCCTTTCCATAGTCTTTTCCCCTACAATCTATCATGGATATTAAAATTTTGATGCATAATGTAAAGGGTTGTAATTCCCCACATAAAAGATGGAAGACTTTCATGCAGTATAGTGAATTAGGGGCTAAAATACTCCTCTTACAGGAGACCCATTTTTCGATTGATAGCCACCCAAAATTATTTCACAAAGCCTTCCCTCAAGCATTGTATACCTTATTTCCCTCTAAAAAGAGGGAGATGGCTGTTCTTGTTCACCGCTCCATTCCTTTTGAGGTTCAACAAGTCTATAAAGATGCTGCAGGTAAGTTTTAGCATCTTAAAGGGCCTGTTAGTGGGTCGTGAAGTGACTATCGCTAATGTATACGCCCCTTGTGAAGCACAAGCTTCTTTCTTTATCTCCTTCTTTCATCAGCTGAACCTGTACCATTCCCTACATATGTTTGTTGGAGGTGATTTCAATCTCGTCGCCAACCCGGTCTTAGACAGAAGCAGGAACTCTACTCACACTGGAGCCTTTCCCAAGATGTTAGTAAGATCACTGCACTCATTTAAACTAATTGATTCCTGGAGGGCTCATATAATATAAGTGCCAAATATTTTACCTTTTTTTTTCTCACACCCATAATTCACAAGCCAGCCTTGACTATATGTTTTGCATCCCAGTGAGTCTGGCTAACTCCAAGGAAGCCAATATTGACCCGTGCGCTTGGTCACCATATGATCACCATATGGTCTCATGTACATTTCAGGCCATAGGTCTGCCAAACATACCTTACTCTTGGTGGCTTAATGATTCTTTCAAATTAATAACACCCCTGACCACTTTGTGGACTGCACATAAATCTGTGCTCTGTGATCGTCTGATAGGTCTTGTCTCATCTTGCAACAAATTAAGATGGCACAGGATCCATATTTTAACCAAAGAGTTGAAGCTTTTATATAAAAATCATGCTTTCTCTCATTCATCAGATCTATTACAACAAATCGCTAATAAACGCCTGTAGTTAAATCTGCTTCTGTCTAACAAAACTGAAAAAGCACTTTGCTGGTCGAAAGCTAAATACTTGTTACACAGTAATTCTGCTTCCTCTATGTTCACCCACAAATTGAACCAATCTGTACACCCTACTCATGTTTATAAATTGTGCAATTCCTTAAATCAAGTGGCTTCACTCCCAAAAGATGTTCTATGAATATTTGAATCCTATTATTCGAACATTTTATCTGCCTCTTCTGGTAGTATTCCCCACTCGGCTTTGAAATGGTTGGATACCATCTCCATCCCTAAACTCTCTCAAGCCCAAGTGGACACCTTAAATGCCCCTTGTAGTCTGGAAGAAATCACTAAAGTCATTAAATTATTGAAAAAGTCTACAGCCCCTGGCCCAGATGGATTTTTTAAAAAATGTGAGCATGTCTTGGCCCCACGTTTATCCTCCCTGTTTAATTATATTCTAAGTGGCAATCTTTTTCCAGAAGAAATACTGCTGGCTAATAGGACACTCATATCAAAACCAAATAAAGGTCATCTCTCCCCCCAAAACTATCACCCAACCTCTGTAATAAATAATGATTTAAAGATTTTTAGCAAACTATTGGCAGACAGGTTGGCATCTATTATTCCTACCATTATTTCCTCCATTATTTCAATCTGGGTTTATTCCCAACATTTTGATCACTGATAATATTTGGTTGGTCTCAGACATTATACAGGATTCAAACATGCACTCTCAAAGCCTGCTCCTTCTGAGTCTAGATATTCAGAATGCCTTCGATAGTCTATCGTGGGAATATCTATCAACACTCTTACCTAAGTTTCTGTGCCGAATTTCTTCAGGGATTTCAGGCATTATATCACCTCCCTAAGATTAGAATTAAGATCTTGTGGGATTGTAAGGACTTTTTCATACTGGGACGAGGGACCAGACAGGGTTGCCCCCTTTCACCCTTACTATTTGTGTTAGCCATGGAACCCTTGACTATGGTCATTAATTTACACCCAGATATTCATGGGTATGTTAACCAACACCTTTCTTATAAACTTTGCATGTATGTAGACACTGTGGTTCAATTTATTACATAACCTCTCATTTCTATGCCTTATTTGGACCT